CAGTAATGTCTAACTGCCACCCTGGGCTCTCCTGTTTTTCTTCTTTTTGACCTCTTTACATGTTTCTCTCTCCAGCAGAGGCCTGAGACTTAAAGAGGGTGAAGAGGAGGGAAATACAGCATTTGAATGGAGAGGTAAAATTCTTTGTCCTACCTTTTACTTCTGTATTCTTTCAACAACCATCCCCCAAAAGTGGATGTGAGGTACAGGCAACAAGGAGGCGGGAAGGATTAAAAGACTTGTTTCTAAGGGTCCCTGTGAAAGCTAAATACTTATAAAGGGCTTTGAAATCTTGGCCTCGTGTGCTGAGTTCAAAGTTTCATCATTAGATAAGGACATAAGTCGTCTTATGGGCTTTTCTTAACTGACAGCCAGGGAAAGATACTTACTCAAAAGGAACAAGTAGGGAGAAATTGGACAATCACCTGTAGGTGATCAAATACTATCATCAACAAGGGGGGATGCCTGTGTGTGCCTGCCTACAAATATGATATCCCAGGGATGCAAATGAAGACATGTACCCAAATGCAATCATAAGGGAACATCAGGCAAACCCAAAATGAGGAATGAGGAACATTCTATTCAACAAAAGATGGTGAGATAAACAAAAGATGGTCATGAAAGACAAAGAGAGGCTGAGGAACTGTTCTAGATTAAAAGGAGACTAAAGAGATGTGACCAAAAAAAGTACATGATTCCAGAAAGGATTCTGTACAGGAAAGGGGAAAAAAATACAAGGACAAATATGAAACATGGGTGGTAGATTATTGAATCAAGGTTGATAACTAAAACCACAGTGTGTAAGAGAATATATTTATTCCTAGGAAATACACACTTAAGTATTTTATGGTAAAGGGCATAATATAAACAATTTACTCTCCAATGGTTCCAAATAAAAGAGAGAGCGAGTGAGCAGAGGGCAAATAATAAAGTGAATGAGGCGAAATGCTAACAGCTAACAAAAGGTGATGGGTGATGCTGGTCAAAGGGTATATTAATATTGCCTGTAGAGTTCAACTTTTCTGAAAGTGTGAAATCTACCACCCTGAGCCTTAAGGATTCCGAAGTGGATCAGCAATAAAGAATCTGCAGGAGACAAGGATTCGATCCCTGGGTCTGGAAGGTCCCCTGGAGGAAGAAATGGCAACCACTCCACTATTCTTGCCTGGAGAATCCCATGGACAGAGCAGCCCAGTGGGTTACAGTCTATGGGGTCACAAAGATTGGGACATGACTGAGTAACTGAACACACACCCTGACCCTTAAAGAGCAAGAACAATAACCATAATCGTTTGTTTTATTCCTGCACTTGTCTGATGAACTATTCTAGATGCTATATTTGATCCTGTGCCAGAAAGACTGACCTTTTTGTTTTTAATTAGGAGAGAAAGAAACATCTTCAGTTAATGTTTATTAAGGTTTTCATGTAAACAATATACTGGGCAAGTCTTTGGGACACTTCTGTCATGGAAACCTAAGGTCAGCCAGGCTTTTTCCTTCTGTTCACTTAATGAAAGAAACCATCTGACTGAAGTTATATAAATGGGACACGCACTTAATCGTCACTGGACTTTTTCCATACAGGATGACCAAGTTAGCCTGCAGCTCTATGCAAGGATCCCATTTCTCATGCAGCTTGAAATTAAGGGGCCTGGCATTCTGACAAACCATTAAAGCCAGACAGCAGACATGATGACAGCTTGGATTTTTAATACCCTCCTCATAGCTTTGGATCTGCCCATAGAGAAGGAAACAAGCATGTTATCCCACATTGACCCTAACTTCTTCAGTTCTTGATATCTAGTAGATTCTGGTTTGCACTTATACAGATGCTCACATTACAGCTGACTCATATTTTAGAATTAAAACCAGATGTCTAAAGGCATAAAGCAATAGCACTAAGTTTAAGCCTCTTACAAAGGAAACATATGATAATCATTCATTATAATAATAGTTTGCCCTAGAAGGAATTAATAAAATTTTAAAAAAAACCTTCTTTAGAATTATTTATTCCCACTTTTGTTCACTGTTAAAACTTCTAAGTCATATTATTTTCCTGAAACTTCGTAAAACACTTTTTTCAAAGACTCTACAGAAATGTTTCTAGAGTGGATCAGTTCAGTTTAGTCACTCAGTCGTGTCCGACTCTTTGCGACCCCATGAATTGTAGCACACCAGGCCTCCCTGTCCATCACCAATTCCCGGAGTTTACTCAAACTCATGTCCATCGAGTCGGTGATGCCATTCAGCCATCTCATCCTCTGTCGTCCCCTTCTCCTCTTGCCCCCAATCCCTCCTAGCATCAGGGTCTTTTCCAGTGAGTCAACTCTTCGCATGAGGTGGCCAAAGTACTGGAATTTCAGCTTCAGCATCAGTCCTTCCAATGAACACCCAGGGCTAAGCTCCTTTAGGATGGACTAGTTGGATCTCCTTGCAGTCCAAGGGACTCTCAAGAGTCTTCTCCAACACCACAGTTCAAAAGCATCAATTTTTCGGCACTCAGCTTTCTTCACAGTCCAACTCTCACATCCATACACGACCTCTGGNCACTCAGCTTTCTTCACAGTCCAACTCTCACATCCATACACGAACTACTGGAAAAACCATAGCCTTGACTAGACGGACCTTTGTTGGCCAAGTAATGTCTCTGCTTTTTAATATGCTATCTAGGTTCAGCTCCTCTTATTCAACCCTAAAAACATACTGTGGAAAAATCTTCCTTTTAGGAAAACCTGGGTTATTCCTAGTGTCTGAGGGTATTTTTAAAAACCTAGATAGATACCTGTGGGCTTCCTGTGTATCCGCAGGCTCTTTACCCTGGACCTGACAGAGCCATCCAAACCAGAAACTTGCTGAGTCACATATAAGCTCAACTGGCATGGTTTTCCCTAACAAACCCTTAAGTCTGAAGAAGATTTTAAAAACAAATGTAAGCTATAAAAGACACACAAACTATCAATTTCTGAGACTTAAGTCCTCCTTAAAAAGATGTGACAATAAAAAACTAAAAAGCAACAAGTAGTCCTGGCAAAAGCTCAGACTAAGAAGCTGACTTAGCTTCTACAGAGGCTGAGCATAAAGATCATCTTGCTGTAAGAATCTACTGTCCTAATCTCTTGTTTACCTAGATATGGTGGTTTATTTGCCTAAAGTAGCTTTTCTTCAAAATATTCACAAGTTTCTACAAAAAAAAAGCAATCAACCTATCATCATTTAAATTTCTAGCTACAAATCTTTTAAAAATTATGAACACACACACATATATACAGTTGTATTCTTGAGTATAATAGATCCTAAGACAGAGCTTGCCAAACCCACTGAATAGTCAAAATTTCTTAGGGAGCTTTCTCAAAACACAAATTTCCAAAGCTCTAAACTAGATACACAGAATCAAAATCTGGGATCTTTTTTTAAAATCTTTATTGAATTTGTTACAATATTTCTTCTGTTTTATGTTTTGATTTTTTGGCTGCAAGGCATGTGGATCTTAGCTCCCTGACCAGGGATTCAACCTGCGCCCCTGCACTAGAAGGGGCAGTCCACTGGGCCACCAAGTCCCCAAATCAGGAATCTTTACTTTGGGAAAGGTCTTCTGTAATTCTGATCACCAGCCAGTTTGTAAACTGTTGGTTGAGGGCACCCTCTGCCATAGCATTACATTTAACAATAACCTCAGATGGCAAAGGTGGCTTTTTTCAATAGAGAATGATTCAAAATCTGACAGATACAAAAAAGTGGCAAACCTTTCTCATTCATCCCTGTCCCCTAGCCATTCTTTTACTTTTTACAGTCAACCAGTATTTCCAGTTGCTGAACTGTCCTTCCAGGGATCCTTTAAGCACACACAGGCATATACAGGTATTTCCTTTACAAAGGGACAGCAGCAAACAAGACATCGTTATGTGAACAAACCAAGATTCGGGACAATGTGTATCTTGGAAATCTTTCCCCATCCGTTCAGAACTTCCTTATTCTGTTTCAACATGCATGGTATGTGCAACAATGTGGATGTAACATCTTTGATCAGTCCCCTCTCATCAGACACCAGTGTGATTTCCAGTTTTTTGCTATAATCTTGTACACATGTCATTTCATACAAGTCTACCTATAAGCTAAATCTGTTCCCTGAACTTGGAAACGCTAAGTCACACAGGTACTGTAATTCTGAGTGATACTGCCAAACTGCCCTCCCCAGAGGTTATAACAATGTTTACTCCCACTTGTAACATGAACCAGGAGTTTAGATTTTACACTAAGCTGAACAGTGGCAATGGCTTACTTTCTAGATGCCTCCCTGAAAATATCCTCCTTTCATAGCCTGGTAACATAACATATGACGTTCTCAAGATACCTTCTGCACAATGAAAATCTGCCTAAGTTTTCTATTACTAGTAGAGAATTTTCTATATGAAGCCCAAGAAAAAGAGGAGCTGAGTGAAGGAGAAGCTGAGGTTAAGGCAGTTCTTGGAAAGCTGACATGCACTCTCTGTGAAGCCTTTTTCCCTACTTCAGCATAAAAGTTTATGTTTCTTTTAAATTAAACTTGTCACCTAACACATAGACCCATCTCAAAACTCATTACTGGGCACTCCATTGCACTCCAGAGAGAAGAAATCCAGTTCCACGCACCAGAACACCGATGCAAGCTTCTCTAACCAGGAAACCTTGACAAGCCAATCGTCCAACCCCACCCACTGGGTGAAACCTCCATAAATTAAACTTGTCCACTTACTACACAAAGTATTACTGATGTGAAAAATTAACCAGGTGCTCTTTATTATTTTAATCGACAAAAGCTCTACAAATGCTGGATTTACCAGTTTTTGCACAAGCGAACTTTACTAAATAAAGACAAGGCACCCCACAGGGACCCAGTCTACAGCTAAGGGAAACAATGTCAGGCAGAGGGCATGCTGAAGGGAGAATGAGCTAGAGAAAGATAACAGGAATCTCTGTTATAATACAAAAAGAACACAGAAGGGAGAAAAAAGGGAACACACTTTTAACTAAAAGAGTTGACAATTTTATTTTCACATTTCACAATACAAATGAAAATTGTTTATTCTGTCCCACTACTTCCCTCCAAAACTACTCTCTCTGATAGGAAGGGGAAACAAGTTTTCCTTGTCATGCAGTTAGAAAACACCCCGAGTCACAGCACCATGATCTCCTGGTGAAGTACAAGTAATATAAAACTGATATAAAGAGGCTCCCCAATCTCCTTATCTGTCTGGTCGGGTCATTCCTGGCCGGGTGGGCACCATCATGGGACGGGCAGGAGGTCTCATCATTGGGGGCCCAGGCATCATTGGCATGTGGCCTCCCATAGGCGGCCTCATTCCAGGAGCTGCAGGCAAAACAAAAAAAGAAAAAAAGAGAGTCAAAAATACTACTTATGAGAGCTTGATGGGACTTCAATTAAAGACAAAAAAGTAGCCCCCCCTGCAAAATGCTGGAAAAAAGACATACTTGACAGAAGAAATGCAACAAATCCATCACATCTGTAAATTACTTAGACATTCTCAAACAAAAAACAAAAAGGTCAACACAAGAACCATATGGGAATCACGATCTAATGATAGTAAGGGGGAAACTATTAATAGATTGCTTTCCAGAAATCACCAGGGACCAGTTCCCTAAATTGACCTTTTTTCTCACTCAGGGAAATTCACAGCTAAGTCACATGTTACTCAGTCAGCTCTTTTAATCACTTCTATCCACCATATAACCAGGAGCTAGTTCATGAATGTACACAGGCACAGAGGACAATCTTACCACTAAGCGTTTGTTCGGAGTTGTAGGAAAGGTGAGCAGGAGGCCCATGCTGAGAACCTGTTAGTAACCATACTTAGCTCAAGTCAAGAAAAATAATAGGCAATAATGTGATTTATAACAATTAGCACACACACACAAATCTGATTTTTCTAATGCATTTCAGAAACTATAAATGAATTTTTTTTAGTGTCCCATCAATGTAATTAATACCAGCCAAATAAATGAGCCAGGGAAGGGAGGGCAGGCAGACAGGTGAGGGTGGGGAGGAATACAGGCAGCTTCATGGGGCTGGCAATGTTCCACTTTCTCAGCTGGGTGTTGGGTTCACGGTATTAATTATATTATTATGCCTCATAATTTTCATGTTACGTAGCTTCTTTTTAACTATCAGATTTTACCTAATCATTTATTTTCAACTAAATCATTTTGATTAAAGGCTTATAATGGTTCAAGAGAAAACTATATTTAAAGTTGAATATAGCCTTATCACAAAAAGCAAAACACATATATATGCAAAAACACAAAATCCAACAGGTACAGAATTTATTTTAAGATAAATTTCAGCAGAAACAGAAAATATTAAACTTCTAAATATCTTATTAAGACTCCCTCCATAACATAACCTGTATTCAGCATCACCTGTATCAGTTTCTTAAAAAGAAACTGATCTAGACCAAAGATTAAAAATGAGGCCCCTGAACACTTGTTTTCTTTGGTCTCCATAGTGCATTAAACCTTAGTTAGTTATCAGCAATGGAAACTAATATGTCTTGTAACTAACAAGTATTCCTTTTTACATCTTTTTATTGTGGAAATGTTCAAGCATACACAAGTAGAGTAAAAAGAATATAATGAACATCCATGTACCCATCAACCAGCTTCAACAATTATCCACCCGCAGTCAACTTTATCTTATCCCCACCCATTCTTATCCCTGCCCACTCCCCAACTACTCAATTATTTTTAGTGAAATGCCATACTTTATTATTTTATCCTGGCTAAAAATAAAAACAAAATACTCAGGCAAACTAGCAACACCACGCCTGTATTCTCAAATGTCAAGCACACATTGATACTGAGTTCTAGAAGCTTACTTTACATGAGTCAAAGCATTTCCCAATCACATCCCTAACACCTCCAGGAATCTGAATTTGTGACCCTAATTTAAGAATGTAAAAGACATCTGAATCACTTAGACTATGTTCTGGATTTACAAGCCAGTAAGGCACGAATTTTCCTTATCTAAACTTTCCCCCCCTTAAATGACACCCACATCAAGCATACTGATTGCTTCTGACCAGGAAGCTACTATATTGTCTTACCAGTTGGGGTGTAGGCTTCTTATGTCAGTTGTATGTATCTAATTAAATAATTTATTCTGCAAACCAATGAAATACAAATACAGAAAAAGAACTGTTTCTGTAAAAACTACACTGGTTACTAAGAAAGACTCAGGCAAATCATCCACCCAATGTACTCACAAATTTGGTAGGCAAGAAGATCATAAAAAATAGGAACTAAACTGCCTCACAAGGTCTCTAACCACTTCAAAGAAAAATGAAACTAAAGCTGGTAAAGGATGCATTATGAGTGTGGCTTACTGGTTTATGCAAGAAACATATGATGTTCCAGTCAGTAGATTCATTCTCAAAGCAAAGGCCCTGACCACATATCAGAAAACTACAAATCAATGTACATTTATGTTTATGTTAAAATCAAATGTTTGAGGTATAAGTTTTTTTTTCCCTTCTGAATAAAAAACTACCAGGCCTAAGACTTTTTTCATAATTACTAATTAACCCACTTAACCTAAAAGATTAAAATTAGCAATATGGGGGCAGTTCTGCCCCAAAACAAAACTGAGGAAAGCAGCAGCCTAAGTATGTATCTACCCTTCTCCTCATTATAATCAGCCAAAAGTCAGGAGGTGCAAGTAAAAAGAGGGTCAGAGGAGAAGAAAAAAAAGAGGCAGTCTTATCTTCCTTTCAGTTGCACAAGGTCTTTGGATACCATCCAATTACACTGATATAACAAAGTACTTCTTTTTACTATCATAGATTCACCAAATGTAATTTGTTGCAGTACATTTAGACAGCTAATTAAGAATTCTATTTAAATCAAAACCTAGAACACAATGGAGCATCCAAGAAGGAAAGAGACCCAAACTTACCAGGCCCCACTGGCATCATCCCAGGAGGAGGGGGGCCCATCATCGGCATCATGGGAGGGCCCCCCATGTGAGGTGCAGGCATCATCCCAGGACGAGGAGGACCCGCTGCAATAAAAAATGGGACTCAGACTGAGATATTCTTGTATATTAACAATTTCTCTTTTTAATGAAATAGGGCTTCATGACCTGGCCCAAATTCTGCAATAATTCTGTAATTTTTTATGATTTGTTTTATAATAGTAGATTGACAAAAATCAGCTGGCTACAAAACTTTAATTACGTTATGACTAAAAACAAGCCTTCCCAGACAGAAGTGTAAAGTGAAGATAAGTTTCCCAAGTTAAATTCCAACAGTTTTAAATTTTAAACTCTATCCTCTATTAAAAAAAAAAATCAAAAAATTGATGATCTTAAGCGACAAATATCTAATTTCAATTTCAGGTCTTTTTTCTAAAAATCAAAACCTAGGTTTAAAAGAGTCTTTGGAAATATGATAACGTATATGCAGAGATATTCCTGACTCTTTCACAGCAGCAACAATCTGGAAGAACTTACATGAGAAACATATGTATGTTTCTTACATATCCAACAATAAGAAAATGGTGAGGTTAATTATGTACATTCATACCACTGCCTATTCTACTATGAAAAATAATGGAGTTGAGTGCCAGCCAGTTGGGACAGACTAGGGGAGAGAGATGACCTTAAGCTGCTGTGAGCCTGATCAGGTCCCAGGATGGCAAGATTCCAAGAAGGGACTGGTGGGTCACTAACGGTCTAGCCTACTTCTCTGTGTTTATATCCATGATTACTTACAGGACTGAATTTAGGTCTCAGTTCAATTTCAATCTGAACCCTTACAGGAGGGACAAAGAACTTAGGCCTAGTTATTCTATCTCCACCTGTCTGTTCTGCAGAAACAACAAACCTTTCCGAACAGAAGAGTCCTTTGACCCACTCCTAACTATGCAATTTTTGTCTTTCTCAAGGTATATATATTGGTGTTAGATGGGTTACAAATTTGGGAGAGACTGAGGAGTTTATCAGCTGTTTCAGTCCTCCAGTGTTGCATTCATAGCAGTAAATAATTTAATACCTTAGCAATACCTCTCTATACATCAGCTGATAATCACAGGTACATTCGGAGCTATCCATTGTATCTGTCTCAGACCCACTTGAGATCTAGTAATAGTGCATTAAGAATGTAACTCTAAAGATATTTTAGGAATTATACCACTGAAGCTGTCATTTATTTCTGTCTATGTATTCACCAATGCAACGGACATGAACTTGGGCAAACTCCAGGAGATGGTGAGGGACAGGGAAGCCTGGCATGCTGCAGTCCACGGGGTCACAAAGGGTCGGACATGACTGGGTGACTGAACAACAACATTCATCTGATGAGCATCTGAAAGCCTACTGTGAGAGAATCTCACTAAATCAAGGATAATCTTCCCAGTTACACCTAATAAGGTAAAAACTTTACAAACTTACGGAGACTGGGGGGAGGTGGGATCATTGCCCCTGCAGGAGGAGGAGCAGAGAATGGAGTAGGAGGTATCTTTCCTTGTTGAAATGCAGCAGCTTTGGAGAGAGTAAGCAAAAACAACCCATTTAATTACTAAAATAACCACGTTCTTTACAATCTTTAATGGTCCCATTATTTCACTCTAAAAATCTTTCATCTAGCATTACAACACCATGGTCAAACTCAACTTTAAGTACTCACCAGCTAAAGCTGCAATTAACTGGTTTACTGATCTGGGTTTTTTAACCAAGTTTTATTTCATCAGCATTCCTATGGCTAAATAACTATGAGAGACTAATTAACTGTGAGTGAAAACCTCCCACCTATAAATGTTTTACCAATGAGAAGCAGTCATCTCTAATCTGCAGATGCAGTTTATACTCAATTTAAGCTGTTCAGTTTTATTTGAAAAATGTGTGATAAGTGCCCAGAGGCCAGGCTTTGTAAAATTTCAGTCCTTCCTATATATGCTTTCCTGCATCAAAACAATACACCATTTTGGTTCATCAGTTTTGAAATTAATGCACTAAGCTATGTTAAAGAAACAAAGATTTCAAATTCAAAGCCAAGAGCCTGCTCTGAAGGAGATTATGATCTTTAAAAAAATGTCCGATACAATTACCGTTTAATTTTTCTCTCAGATAACATGAGGCCAAATGAAAACAAAAGAAACTGAAGACTGTTTATATTTGTCTTGGGAAAACAGTCATAAATAAACACTAAAATACACATGCTTAAAGTCTGTTCTTGAATATGCCTTTCTCAAGTCAGTGCAGTCTGCAGCCCAGACACTCCCCCATTCCACTCCACCCTCACTAGTGCAAAGGAGGTCAAATCACTCAAGGAGATCATTGATAATTCACATAGACCAATGCAAAAAATGACCCAGAGTGAGATTTATGAATAGCTATTCACAAGACCCCAAAGAGCCTGTTCTAAGGGATCATATCCCCCAATAAAGGCTTTTCCAATCAGGACACTTCCCACATCTCGTGCAGGAGAGCCTGCAAAGACTGAAGAGGGAGTGGCAATGCCACTGGCTCAGTAGCGGACTCAACACAACCGTGAACATCAAGTCCATCCCCAAGGGCTCACTTCTTCTCCTCTAAAAGTTTTTCATCAACACCACTCACTCATCCTTACAATTTTTTCCCAGATGAGATAATTTCTGAGATTCGTCCCATAATAATCCAGGAGGGGAAAGGAAGTAGATGAAGGCTCTCAACAAGGGGCAGTTTTGTCCCTGTTGGGACACCAGGCAGCGCGTGGAGATACTCGGAACTGCTACAGGCGGCTACTGGCTATAGGTCAGAGGTGCTGCTGAACAGCCTACAGCGCATGAACAGCCCCCAACAAAGAACGATCAGGCCCCAAATATCAAGTGCTACGTGAGACAACTTTGGTATAAACAAGACAATGCTGCAGCTGAATGATACAGGTGTGGCAGTCACAGGAGGTTCTTTCTTTAAAGTTCTCCTTCTACTGAGCTTAAAATTTCTCATGACAGTCTTGCTTACAAAAAAAAAAAACACACCATGATCAAAGTCCACATTTGCCTGCCAGCTGTGGGTACGATGAACAATTAGAAAAGGCCATGTTTCAGATACATTAGGATGATCAAACATAAAAATACAGTATCTCTTTCTGGCAGTGCTTTGTACCTTACCACCCCAAACAATAAAAATGTTCCTAATTAAGCAAAACGAGTATAGCATGTACGGCAAGAGTCCAAAACATACCCAGACTATTCTGTCTTATCAGTTACTTCCTTTGTGACCAGTTACCTTTGTCAGGACAGGAAGAATAAGTCTCTTCAAAGAGAACTACAAACTCACCTCTACCTTTTCACACTGTAATAGGAAAACCAATCTAAAAATCACAAATCACAATAAAGGAGGTTATAAATTTGCTACAAAATCTGGCCCACATCAAGAGAAACATTAGACTACTCATTCTTCTCTACCCAACTTCCTAGTCTAACCAATATCTGATTGCTCTAATGTCAAAAATTAATATTAATGTTTTCCTATATCCCCAAGAAACCAACAACCTTCCACTTCTTTTATTCAGCACATCAGAATGATCCTATTTATCATTCAGAATGAGCTGCTTCTCTGAAACACAACAGAGACACAGGGACAAGAAAGAATGGGACCATTCTATCCCACCAGAACAGGAGACTGCAACGTACTGGTTTTGTCAATCAGGCTCTGAGCCTGCTCTTCCATCCATTTCTGATAGTAGTCTTTCACATTCTCTTTGTGCTTCCTACCACTGCAGTGTGTCTTTCTCACAGATGGCTGTAAAACAAAAAGGTAGTTATCAGTCAAAGAAACAAATAATCCGAAACCAGAAATTTTCTGAAGCCTTACCTTTTTGTAGGTAGCCTCACTACCTTTAGCAGCTTTAGCTGGGGGTGCCAAAGCATCACTAAAAACATTTTCCAGCGATGTACTGTGGTAATTTACCTACTGCATGTGTTATCTAAACCAGGGCCCAGCTACCTGACTTTGTCTATGGAGAGTCTACTCTTCTCTCCACAACAGCAAAGCCGAGTAACTGCAACAGAGACCGTATGGCCCACAAACCTAAAATAATTAAAATCTGGCATGTGAAGAAAAGGTGTGCAATCCACTGATCTAAAACACAATAGCATTTTAGTGCCCTTTCGTAGGTTATTCTGTGGAAAATCAATATAGCTTACATACATTTAAGTAACAGTTTATGGAAATATGGTCTTTTAAAGGACCATAGGTCTAGAATATAGATTCTATGTGAATCCCTCACAGACCTTTAGCTCATCTAACAGTTTTACTGAGATAAAACTGACATAAGAAACTTCACACACTTAACCTTTTAACTTAACACTTATTTAACTTTTACTACATGCCAGACACCACGCTACGTACTTTACAAGTAGTGCCTCAATCTCCATAAGACCATATGTGCACAATACAGTGAAATACCAATCTGAAAGAATGAACTGCTGATATATGCAATACAGACAAATCTCAAAACCATGCTGAGCAAAAGAAATCAAACATGCAGAGTATCTAAGCCTCCATTCAGATAAAGTTTAAAATCAGTAACAATGATCTTTAGTCATAAAAGCCAGATCAGTAAGGGTAGGGGTGCACAGGGACTCACTACAAAAAAGCACAGGAGAACCTTCTGGAGTGACGGAAATGTTCTATGTCTTTATGCATACAGCAAGCTGTAATCATCTGACAAATCATCAAACTGTACACTTAAAATATATGCATTTAACTGAATATATGTAATTCAATAAAATTGATTTTAAAAACCACAAGGTTATCATCTTCTATTTATGCCTAAAGATGTGTCTCAAAACACATGGTAAGTAGCAAACCAAGGCCTAGAATCCAGATCGCACTCAGATGCACCTCATGACTGCCTTCCTCCCTCTTACCTCCCTTCACATGATTGCTTCAGCTGTAGCAGATATGACCACTATCACATAAGCAAAAATTGTGTGTATCTCAGAAACTGGTGTGTATCTCAAGATATTAATACCATTCCCTGTCTCCCAGTCACTGCTTACACTAATACCACAATGATGCCTTAAGCCTAATAGCAAAACCATGCCTAAGAACCAGCAAAAAGTTAAAGCACTGAACCTTCTATACATTTCAAAGTCCACCACAGGGACTGCTTCAGTCACCATGGAAACTTATTTTCACAAGGTATCATGTTAGAAAAACAGTATTACAGGGATACCTGACGTGTCTTATAAAGAGATATTTATTATGAAGAGAGACTTTTCCAGTTTCTGAATTCTAGCATTAGCAAGCAGAGTGAGTATATGACAAAATAGCACTGGAAAAGGGTAGAAAGGCATAGCCTCCCACACAAACTTCAGAAAATTACAATGAAGGGTTTGACCTAGAGAGGGGGTTAGGGACACAAAAACAAAACAAAAAAGACAGAGCTCTGTAGGCAAGCTACTACTAATACCAAATGACTGAGAGGGCTCCTCCAATCTGTAATAATATAATATTTACAACCATTATTTCTTTAGTAGGAAGAAATACATATTCCACAAATCTATTAATGCTGAATTACAGCTGACCATCTGTTAGAATTCCAAATGAAGTGACAACCGAGAAATCAGTTAACTTCTTGCAGCTACTATTCATGATGACATCATGACTGAATTTTGGTTTAATCAGATCTCTGATTAAAAAACTTGAGAGGCAGTTCTCAAGGTGTGGCTCACAGACACCATTCAAAGTGCAAGACAGAAGAGTGAGTTTTAATGTTAAGAGCACTTGACATGGTTTAGATTCCAAACTGCAACTAACTATGTGTTGAGTTTTGGTGCAGTAATACAAGAATATTAAAGAATATCCACAAATATCTCAAAACAATATTAAAGTACTCCTAGATCCTACATACATGTGAAGTTGGATTCTTCATATACTTCAACCAAAACAAAGTGTGACAGATTTAAAGTAAAAGACAATTAAGTCAGATGTTACAGAAGACTCAAAAAAAGTTAAAATGCCATTCTTCACACTAAACTTTTGTTTTGGAAAATAGCTATTTTTCACTTTTAAAGTGTTACTTCTGCTATCATTACCTTAAATGAATTAATATTTTTAAGTAATCTCAAATACAGAAAATTTTAATGGCGATAAATCATTTAACCTACCATCTAAGAGTGCAATTTCTAAGAGTGTAAAGGGACCACGAAATGAAAAATTTGAGAGCTGCTGGCATAGAAGCTTTGGACTTAGACTGCTTGGCTCATCTTCCACCTCTACACAACTTAATGGTTTTGTAACATCCAATTATTTATCCACACTACCTCAGCTTCCCTCTCTGTAAAATGGGAGATAATACTAACTTCATAGGATTATCATGGGCATTAAACAAAATGATACTGTAAAGCATGTGGAACACTGCCTGACACACAATATTCAATCTTAGTTGTTGTTATTATCTGTTAATTATTTTTTAATCAATATACTCTCCTCAAAATGTAGGCATTTCTTTCCAATTTAGTCAGTCAAACATTTGAGAGCCTTGACACAAACAAATATTAGAACCTCAGGACATTTTCCTAGAGGTTTTACTTGTCACAGACTTTTTTCTTCATCTTTAAACTTGCTAAAGCTTTTATTATTGTGGGTCTCCACTGAAAACACTGACTGATGGAAGATTGACTTTGAATTATAAATACAGTTACAGGAAGGGTGGAAAAACAAACACCCCAAGTAGTTTCTTCAAGCAGTAGCCCTTAAACCTTAGCAAGATGAAAAGCGGAAATTACAAAAAAAAAATTTAAATCTAATTTATTACATACAAGGCTTTGCTTAGGTTTCCTTTCATTAAAAAAAAAAAGTAACAGTTTTATTGAGCTGTAATTCACAGGCCATACAATTTACAAATAAATTTCAAGTTACAAAATAATGGCGATATTTCCCTTGAGTTGTACAATTATCTATTTTATACACAGTAGTTTAAAACTCTTAATCCCTTATCCTATCTTGCCTCTCCCCACTTCTCTCTCCTTACTGGTAACCACTAGTTTTTCTCTGTATCAGTGAGTCTGTTTGTCATATACATCCGTTTTGCTTCATTTTTTTGGTTCCACGTATAAGTGATAAAAAAAGAGTATGTTTCTTTGACAACCTTATTTCACTGAGCATAATACTCTCTAAGTCTATCCACGTTGTTGCAAATGGCAGGCATACGGTTTTTGGAAACTGAAAAGAAACACTACTTACAGAGTCATGGGTGAGGTATGTGTCGCAGTAGTCACAATAAAATCTGGAAAAAGGAGGGGAGGTAAAGAAAAAAAGAGAAGATGACAACCAGTTAACAGATGCCCATCCAAGCTGCTATTCACTGAAGCTGAAATATAAAATAAAGTAAAAGACCTATTCACTATATGAAGACCTCAAACAAAACGTCCTGACACAAGTTAAGCTTTCTGGCTGCCTCTGCGGAGTCGACCTCCGCACTCGAAAAGGAGTAACGAGAAATCCGGGTCGTCCGTCCTTCCCCTGACCCGCTCGCTCCCCCAAAGGCTACCGGAGCCAGAGCCCGCTCTGCGTTCTCCCGCAGAAAGACAATTAGTAACCGTGGCCGCGAACACCCAAGTACAGGCCCCCCACTCACTTAGGCATGTTGCTCCACAGGCCGTTGGCAACTCCGTTCCGCGCCGCCTGGAAGTGACGCGCTCAGTCAGAGCCGACGCAGCGGAAGTGACGAATAAAACGCGACTTAAGAAATCCAATCCCAGTCATCCAATCCTCCAGCTGCGTTGCGCAGGCGGTAACTTCGTCGTGGGCGGGGAGAGGGGCGGGGCTTGTCCTGCGCGTCCCTTCACCTAGATGCGGGCGGAAAGTGGGGGTACCGAGAGTCGCGGTGAGGTTTAGTCGTCGATCTCGAAGCCGAGATTCTCGATCTTCCCGGAAGTATGTTCATTCTGGTATAAATGCTGAGAAGACAGCAGTGAACTAAACAGGCAAAGATCCTTGCTCTCGTGGAGTTGATATTCGAGTTGGGGAAGACAATAAAGTTAGTAGGTAGTGGGTTAGATGGGGCCAAGTGAAATACAATGAGGGAGGAAATGAAGCATGAAAGAGTCCAGTCTGGAATAAGACAGAGAAAGTTTTCCGACAAAGTGACAACTGAGAAATGATAGGTTTCTTAAAGCAAGAAACCCAGGCGCAAGCCAGTTTATATACCTTCTCTTTGTGAGCTCACTAACCCCCGGAGGAGGCAGAATCCCCAGTTTCAAATCCGGTCGCTGCTTCTTAGCTATGCTGCATATGCTACTTATAATGCAGTAGCATATAAGTGTACTTATTATTACTTTCTGAACCTCAGTTTCCTCATCTGCAAAATATGGATAATAGTTCTTACTTGTGGAGTCAGGATGAATTAGATGTGGAAATGTTTGTACAGAATTCACTACAGTGTGCATACTAAGCCCTCCACAAATGAAAGTTATCTTTACATAGGAGGAAACTATTAGACATCACTTGTCCAGTGTTACAACTCTTTTAGAAATTGTCTAGCAGGTTTTTCTGGTACACACTGGAAAACAAAAAAAAAAATCCCTTTTCCAGGGAATTCCCTGGTGGCCTAGTGGTTAGGATTCTGGGCTTTCACTGCCATGGCCCAGGTTCAATTCCTGGTAGGGGAACTGAGCCAAGCATCTGGCAAAAAAAAAAAAAAAAGCTTGTCTATTGGTATAACCTGGTCTAGAAACAAGGCCAAACTTTCTGCCTGGTGTATCAGACTCAGAAATGACTTGACCCTTCTTTCAGAAAACAGAAATAGTGTGAGGAACTGGAAGGAGAAGCTCTTGCTGCTTTTGCTCCATATTCATCAATGGTGCAGTTGGAACCAAAATAATTATAATTGTTGCTTTATTTGAAAGTTGGCTATGTCATAAGTGCTTTTGTTGACTGCAAAAAAAAAAAACACAGCCTTAAACTTGAGAGTTATGTTTTATTTATTGGACAAAACTGAGAGCTTAAACCCAGAAGACAGGCTCTGAGGGACTGCTTGGAAGAGGTAAGGGAGAAGCCAGAATATATAAGAGTTTTGCAAAGAAAAATCAAAAGTAATTAAAGAAAACCAGAAATCTCAAGTTAATGAATTTATCACTTTTCTATGTATGGGAAGAGGCAAGAGTCTGGACATACTGAAATTATTCCTCTGATATGCATCTTAACTATCTAGGGCCAGTAGCCTGCCTTCCTCTACTCTGAAACCACTCAGTGTTCACACTGAGAGTGCCTGCAGTGGCTGCTGGCTTGATAGCACATCTTTTGTTTGTTGATATGGCAAGCAACATTTTTCATTCACAGTTTAAATGTATTACATATTTAATCTATTCAACAACACTGTTATTCATATTTCAGACGAGGAAACTGAGCTTTAACAAGGTTAAATATACCACAAAAATTATTTTCTGGTCTTTAAAGTTAACTGCTTAGTGAAGTTGTCAGGCTTTCACCACCCCTAGTACAGTGCTTCATTTTACTGTCATTAGTGTGGAACAATCAACTATTATGTGTTTCCTGATCAGAGGCTAACATTAATAGACACCATCAACTATCATATAATTTTACCAAAAATACTTAACCTGGGTCTAATAAAGTATGTAGTAGGATAGGCAAGAGGATCTAAAGTAAAGCAAAAGGCAGTGAACAGATTCAGAAGGTGGTACATTCTGTATAGAACAACTGGCCTTTTTAAGTTAAAAAATAGTGTCTTTCTACATTAAAATATTTTTGAGAGATATAGCAACCAGATGTAGTATGTGGTCCAGGGTTAGATCTTAGTTTGGACAAACCAGCTATAAAGAACATTTTGGGGAAACTGTCTAGGCCTTAATGTTACAGTGCTACTAACCCACCTTCATCCAGACAGCCTGAGTTGATTATTCTTGAAGGGAAAGATTCATGAGTTATGTTTTGATTTTCTTCCTCCTTCCTCTCTGTCCTGATCCTGGGCCAGTTTTACCCTCAAATCCATTCCTCATCATCCGCAGCTCTTTTCAGCGTGGCAGTGGGGGGCTGACAACATAAGGAAAGGCTACATGTCCTGGACTCCTGGGCTGACTGGGCACCACACTGAGTTGCTGGGCCCCATCAATGGTAGACACTTCTGCAGATGGGATGGATCAAGGAAGAAGCCAGACTATCCCCACCCTCATCCTGTCCCCAAACAAGGATCCATCCCAACCCCAAACCTCAAGCTCTCTCCTCCTATCTCTTTGGCTCCAGCTTTTAGCAGATGATCCCAGCCCCATGGTGACTCCATGACCTTCTGCCTCTCAGTTTAAGGGTGGCAGTAACTGCTTGCTATTGCTTATCTTTGGGTTACTTCACTGTTTTCTGTTTCCCTTTTTATCCCTGCCAACATCTACCTAAACTAATTCTCAGTTTTAAATACTTAGAGTTGGGACTTGCCTGGTGTTCCAGTGGTTAAGAATCCACCTTCCAATGCAGATGGCACAGGTTCAATCCCTGGTTGGGGAACTGAGATTCCACATGCAGTGAAGCCTGCGTGCCACACTAGAGAGCTCGGGCGCCACAGCTGCTGAGCCCACGTGCTCCAGAACTCACACACTGAAACCAAGACCTGACACAACAAACAAGTCATACCCAGAAGATCAGTGCTTAGAGTGACCTCTTTCAGAACTCAGAGGATGACCTTACTGTGGAGTCCTATCCCAAGATCACAGGTCTGAGGCCTTGTACCAAAGCCACAGATATGGGCCCCATCTCCAAGGTCATTTACAGAACTGACTGAACCCCACTGTAACCATTGCCAAAAGCGCCCCTGATCCTTAATGGCCAGCTCCTTGACCCCATATTAGGCAAAAATGCCTATCCCAGTACTCACCCTGTGGCACCATAACCTAATGCCACCCTTCCAGTTGGAACTTTATTTGTCTTAAGACTATAAAAATTGGCTACCAACCCAAGAAAAGCATTGACTCTCCCTTGAGCCGGCCCACTGTTCTTACAGTGTCCCTTCAACTCTCCCTGGTCTGTCAGGAGGTCGGCCCACTGTGCTCAAAGTACCCACATTATCTCCATTCTTTGCTTTCAATAAGCTCACTCCTTTCTGAGTTACACTGTGTCTGGAAATTCTTTTCCACTATCAACCGTTAGTTCCAAGGAGTTATCTCCCTCACAGCTTGCCTACGGCCCTATTATCTTATAAAGGGCTGCTTTTCACACTTTTGGAGCTCATTTGTTACCCTCATTCCCCTAGATCTTTGAGGAAAATTCCAAGTGTGTTTGAAATGTGCTTGAACTCTTTGTGTGATATTTTTTAAAAACTCACAATGTTTGCAAACTACTTTATAATACATCCATGGTTTTCAATTTTTCTTAAGTTTATTTCACACTTAAAATGAATTTTACTTCTTTAATTTTGAATAGGTAATAATAGGAAAGTGCAAGTTAGTCTCTCAGTCATGTTCAACTCTTTGCACTTCCATGGACTGTAGCCTGCCACGCTCCTCTGTCCATGGAATTCTCCAAGCGAGAGTACTGGAGTGGGTTTCCATTTCCTTCTCCAAGGGATCTTCCCAACACAGGGATTGAACCTGGGTCTCCTGCATTGCAGGCAAATTCTTTACCATTTGAGCCACCATATGGTGTGAAATTAGAAAACCACAGAAGAGTATACTCCCTAGGCACACCCCTCTTACCAGTTTCTTGCATGTCTTTCCAGAGATAGACTATGCATATGCAAACATAAAATATGTTTCCTGTTTCTATTTTTAAAATGCACAGAATTTCATTGTGAAGAGAACATGGCAATCCACTCCAGTATTCTTGCCTGGAGAGTCACGTGGACAGGGGAGTCTAGTGGACTGCAGCCCATGGGGCTGCAAAGAGTTGAACGTGAATGAAGTAACTGAGCACAGACATAGTATTTCACGCATGAATGTACCTCAATTTATTAAATCCTCTATTGATGAACATTTTATTTTCTTGGACTCCAAAATCACTGTGGACAGTGATTGCAGCCATGAAATTAAAAGACGCCTCCTCCTTAGAAGGAAAGCTATGACAAACCTAGACAGCATATTGAAAAGCAGAGACATCATTTTGCCAACAAAAGTCCATATAGTCAAAGTTATGGTTTCTCCAGTGGTCATGTACAGATGTGACAGCTGGACCTTAAAGAAGGCTGAGCACTTAATAATGGATGCTTTCGAATTGCAGTGCAGAAGAAGACTCTTGAGAGTCCCTTGGACTGCAGGGAGATCAAACCAGTCAATCCTAAAGTAAATCAGCCCTGAATATGCATTGGAAAGACTAATGCTGAAGCTGAAGCTCCAATACTTTGACCACCTGATGTGAAGAGCTGTCTCATTGGAAAAGACTCTGATGCTGGGAGAGATTATAGGCAATAGGAGAAGGGGGTGGCAGAGGATGAGATGGTTAGATAGCGTCACTGACTCAATGGACATGAACTCCAGGAGATAGTGAAGGACAGAGGAACCTGGCATAGTGCAGTCCATGAGGTCACAAAGGGTCAGATATAACTTTGTGACTGAACAACAACAACAAATTGATGAAAGTAAATTGTTTCCTGTCTTTGGCTATTACAGGATGCTGCCATACATGGTTAAATGCCACATATCCAAGTATATTTGTAGGGTAAATTTCTCGAACTGGAATTACTGGGTTAAGGAGCCTTGCTTTTACAAGTTTGAACTCTAAAGCCCACATGCTCTAGAGC